CGATTCATATATTCTTAATATATTACAACAAATCCATTCCGTGCATCGCACGGGTGCAAATACTAGTTAATATAAGAAACATTAATGCATTATATTTAGTAGACACAAGTTACAAATCAAGTAGGTGCCATGTCAGGAGGGAAAAAATATGGCAGGTGAATAACATTTGTCTTTTACTTTTCTAAAAACATAAAAGTGTGATTGAAGGTTATTCCATTCATTTATGTCTGTTTTTTTTTGTTAAGTATTTTTTTTATTTTTTTAATTTTTTTTTTACGTTATGCTATAAAAGTTGTACTATATAATATTTTGGGCAAACATATCCATACCGTTATAACTTCCGTTATCTTTTCCACTATTGTTACTATGCACATGCATCCACCATATATTTTCGAGCAAATACCAATTTTAGTCCCACAACTATTAGTAAAATGACAGTTTTAGTCCACATGTTTAATTCCTCCCAATTTTCATCCACGACTATTGTTTTAGTACCAATTTTCATCCACGACTATTATTTTAGTACCAATTTTCGTTCATGACTATTGTTTTAGTACCAAAATTCATAATGTTGGTAACCCCTTCGTTTAATACATGTCGAATCCAAAAATTTTAAGGGTATTTGTCCTTTTCAACTTAAGATCTCAATTTGAGCATGAATAAAAAATTTAAGCTCTAAAATCGATCCCGATTCGCAGTTCTACTCCTCATTCTACCTTAATTTGAGGAGGAGAATTGCTAATTGGGATCGACCTTAGGGCTTAAATCCCTTTACTCATGTTCAAATTGTGATCTTAATTTGAAAAAGGAAAAAAATAACCTTCATAATTTCATATTTTGGCATGTCTTAAACGAAATGAGTGGCCGACGTGATGAATTTCAGCACTAAAACAATAGTCTTGGATGAAAATTGATACGAATACAATAGTTGTGGATGAAAATTGGTAGGAATTAAATATGTGGATCAAAACTGTCATTTTGTTAATACTCGTGGGACCAAAATTTGTATTTGCTCATATATTTTCTTATCTTCTTCAATAATAATAATAATATATACACACACTATATATTGGAGTAATATGTTAGTTATCTCATAAAATATAAATATCAAATTTATAAAAAGGATTTACATTATTATTATTATTATTATTATTATTATTATTATTATTATTATTATTATTATTATTATTATTATTATTATTATTATTATTATTATTACTAGTAATTCACCCGCGCGATGCACGGAAAAAAATTATGTTATTATAAATATAAATAAAAAATAGAAAAACTAAAATATTTTAAATTATTTAATATAATAATATTTTTAAGCTTCCATTGGTCAAGTATTTATTATTTTTATAGAATACAAAATTACAATTAAAATTAAAATTATAATTATAATTATAATTTTGTATGATTAATATAATCTCTAATTATGTGCATATTCAAATAAACTTATAGAGAGAATTTACATAATTACATTGATTTATTCTTAATTGTATTTCATCTATATTATAATTTTCACAATACAAATAATAACTAAGATAATTACATTTAGAAATCAAATTTCAAATTTTGTATGTGTAAATTTAAACTCTAATTGAACATATTTTTTATATGATTATATAATATATAGCTATTTTATTTTTCAAAAGTATATTTTTTATATTTTTGAAAGTTACTAGCCCTATTACATTGTAGTATCTGTTCATATACTTTCTCAACCTACTGAAACACAAAGAACCAATAACGCCTCCACTGAGGCTCGAACGCGTAACCTTCCAAATGGAAGTCCAACCCGGGTACCATTAGACCACATAGTCTTGGTATTTTTTATATGATTATATAATATATAGCTATTTATTTTTTAAATGTTGCGCCTTTTTTTTTTTTATATATACTAAAAGATGTTGTGGCATTAATTGTAACATTAATTATTTTCCAAACCATATAGCTTTATTATATAAAGGATTATTATTATTATTATTATTATTATTATTATTATTATTATTATTATTTACAATAATTTAAATATCTAAAATCTAAATAAATTTAAAATTTTAATATATAAAGTACTAATATTGAGCACCTATTTTTGCGTATCACACATATAATTACTAGTATCTCAAATATGTATGTTTACAGGGTGTGATGAGTAGTGGTTAAAAACAGTATGCAAGATTTTTATTTTTTATTTTTATATAATTACCTAATGAATCAAATGAGATATAATCTAAGGAACCAAATTTGTAATGATTATGAGATTAATAACAAGATAGGCATGTTTACGGGTGTGAGTAGTGGCAAAAAATTAATACTCCATAGTTTCTAATTAACAAACAGAATTCAACAAACTCTCAAAATCTCTCATTATCTGCATAACATCATTGAACTCTACAGTCTTTTCCATCTTCTCCAATGCGATTCTGGCGGCTTCTCTTTCTCCTTGTCGCTGGATTTTGACCTGAAGCCTCTCTCTTTCTTGTCGTTGCTTCAGTGGGTCAGCATTATAATTATCTCCCTGATATGAAGGATGATGATTTTCTTTGAAAATGAGATGTGCATAACGTTTCTTCATCTGGGCAGCAAGTAGAGCCTTTGTTGGAGAAAGCCGAGCACCAACAGTAAGTGAAGTAGTGCAGTCTTCATCAATGGTGGCACGTGATGAAGAATGATGAGACCTACAACTTTCCTTTTCCTTCTGAAATGGCGTTTTCTTCATATCATGACTCTTAGGTTTCTTTTCGCAATCCCACCCACCTCTGTGAATCATCTTTGGCGACATCGGGAAAACCCTCTCCGAGTCTTCCCTAATACTCTGGTAGTCAATTCTCCGTCGCCTCTTAATTTCTTTTCCGGCATCATCTACTTTGAAATCATTAGATCCACGCTTCTTGTTGTTAGTGAGTCGATTCCTGATGATATTCAAACCCATTTCCCGATCGTCTCTTTTCCCATCTCCTTTAGTTGATATTCTCATCTTTAGATTCGCTAGTTGTCTTAGTCTCCTAGATCAGCTAGCGTCGTCATTGCTGCGAAATCAACCTAAAGGCCCTAAACAAATTAAATCCAAGTACCCCAAAAACAAAACTCAGAGAGATTATGTGATGATATGATTGAAGAGAGCGATTATGGAACCTAGTGAGAGCGTTTCCCTTACAACTAAAATTAAGAAACTTTAACAGCATGTTTGGTTCACGGAATGAATTTTAAGGAAATAGAAATGTTATTCCCAAATAGATATGGAATAGAATAAGATTTGTATTCCATTGATTGGTTCAGTGGAGGATAGACTTAGGAATGTTATTCCGGTGTTCGGTTGGTTTAAGGAATATAAATGGAATATATGTTCAAAAGACATAAATACTCTTATATAAAATATATAATAATATTATGATTATTATTATGATGATTATATATTATTATTATTATTATTATTATTATTATTATTATTATTATTATTATTATTATTATTATTATTATTATTATTATTATTATTATTATTATTATTATTATTATTATTATTATTATTATTATTATTATTATTCAGTAAATGGGTAACACTTGTGTTAGACCGTCTCTCGGGTCTTAATCCGTGAGATGGGTCGGATCTTTAATTAATGAGGTCAAAGATCAGACCCATCTCACGGATTGAGACCCGTGAGATGGTCCCACACAAGTGTTACCCATTTACTGAATATCAAACCTTGTATTATATAATATAAAATTTTTAAAATGAAAAATTGAGGGCAAAATATTCATATAATGATGGTATAAAATTTTATTTTATAAAAATCCTCACAAATTAAACAATATATGTATACATAAATTACATGGATCCGGAGGAATGTATAGGTACAAATATGTACATTATAAAGAGGAAATAGTGATTTTAGTCCATTAATTATAAATATATTGTAGACTCAATCAGAGAATTATTACTTTATACAAAATTTTTAATTTAATTATGTGTAAAGAGATAATTTTAATCCACCACTAACAAATTCTATTCAAAATAATATTGTACATTGAATTTTCAAATTATTAAATGGCGCCAATAACCTTGTGCTCAGATGGCATGTAATAACTCTTCCATATTGGAGGTCATGAGATTGAGCCTTAGTGGAGGTGTTGTTGACTCTTTATACTTCAACAGGAGTTTTTTTAAATTTCCCCAACTAAACCTCTTCATAATAAAAAATCTTTCTAAATAATCATTCTAGGATGATATTTATTTCATTGGTTGTATATTTCAACAATACTGCAATATATATATATATATATATATATATATATATATATATATATATATATATATATATATAACGTAACTAGTATGTATGTCTTATTGGCGATGTCTTTATGTCTTACGAAGATTCTTGAGGAGTATTTAAGCAAAATGGATGCTCAAATAATTAACATGAATTTGTAAAATTATAATATGTATAAGCATATCAATTTTTCATATAATTTTTTTTTAAGTGAGCAAATTATTTCATAATGACTAAAAAAAGATAAAGACGTCCTACATTGGTCCATAATGACACCAACATAGGATCGAATAGCCGTGGGAGCCTGGAGTAATGAGCTCCGTAATTTCGAGCAGTCCGTTAAGAGATTCACATCCGTCACATTCCGGTCTCTGAGTTAAGATAAAGCTTCCTTGCACGCAAGTGCCTTAGCCATTAGCGGTGAAAAACATCCTGGGAGCTGTCCATTTGTGGCAGCCAAAAAAGCTCCGGTTTGCGAGAGAAGAACCGCGGCATATGTGGCTTCTCCGGTGGATGGCCGAAAACCCGCATCTATGTAGCACTTGGGAAGAGCCGGCGCCGTGTTCGGGACCGCTCCTGCTGCGGAAGCCGTCGGTGTAGCTGTGCGTACGAGTTCATGGCAGCGGCGGCTTGTCTCCATATTTGGCCGGGGCGTGGTAATTTGCTCTCCCATACCGCCATGTTCCGAGCACTCCAAAGGTGGTAGAGTACCGCAATCAAGAAACCACGTTACTCTTCTGTCAAAATATTGAGTGCACCCATGAGCCATACAGGAAACGAATTAGACAAAGTATTTGTGATAGACAGTTCCGTAGTGTTCCACACAAGTCTAGAATAATCACAAAGAACAAGAGAGTGCATAACATCCTCATGATGCAAGCCACACATTGAGCATATTGGGTTCACATCTACCCTCTTTAAAAGCAAGTTGTTTGTGGTGGGGAGTATATCACATAAAGTTCTCCATAGGAAGGTTTTCCATTTAGGTGGAACCTTCAATTTCCATAATGCTACCCATTTATCAAAAGCACATGGGCTATGGTCATGGTCACCTATAATGTGCCTATATGCATTTTTGACTATATATTCCCCTTTGGGGTCACTGAGCCAATACCATGAGTCCTCATATGCTGGACTCACCTGGATTTTAGATATACGAGCCACATCACCCGGGTCAAATAAATCTGCCAAAATATGGGGGTCCCAGGTATTTGTCTGTTGATCAATTAATCCTTCCACACGAGCCTCCCTCAATTCCTCAGGCATAATTGTTTGAACTAAGGGACTAGGATTATCATGTAACCAAGGGTACCCGCAGATGAGAGTTGTCTTCCCGTTACCATTTCTCCTACGTGCCCCAGCACACACCATATCACGTGCAGCCATGATACTTCGCCAATAATAACTCGGACAGTTCCCTATACTGGCATCAACAAAAGAGGTCCTCGGATAGTATCTAGCCTTATAAATTCTCGAGCTAGGGAGTTAGGATCAGATAGGAAACGCCAGGCCTGTTTTCCTAGCATAGCCAGGTTGAAAGCCCGGAGATCTTTGAAACCCAATCCACCAAATTTCTTAGGGACACATAATTTATCCCAAGCCTTCCAATGGATTCCCCTGTCAGTTCCACTCCCCCACCAATATCTATTCATAGCTCTTTCAATAGATAAGCAAACTACATCAGGTAACAAAAAAACACTCATAGTAAAGGTGGGCATATATTGGGCTACACTTTTCAAGAGTACTTCCTTACCAGCCTGGGACAGTAGTTTCTTGTTCCAAGATCCAATTCTCTGCCTGATTTTATCCTCCACATAAGAGAAAACGACCATTTTATTTCTACCATCAAATGATGGTAAACCAAGATACTTTCCAAAATTCGGGGCATGTACAACCCCCAAAGATTGCGCCACATCATCCCTAACATTCACTGGGGTGTTTCTGCTAAAACAAATACTTGACTTATGAAAATTCACCATCTGTCCAGATAATTTTTCATTCCTTACCAAACATTGTTTAACCACATTAGCTTCCTGCTCCTTTGCTTTGAAGAATAAGAGGCTATCATCTGCAAAAAACAGGTGTGAGATCGGGGTGGCTCCCCTTGCTACTCTGCAACCATGTATTGATCCTGCCATCTGAGCTTTCTGTAATAACATAGACAAGCCCTCCGCACAAATAATAAACAAATAGGGTGAGAGGGGATCACCTTGCCTGAGACCACGTGTTGGGGTTACCTGGCCAACGTCCACGCCGTTCACCATGATGTTATATGTGACCGTGGTTACACATAACATAATCAATTTAATCCACCGATCATCAAAACCCATTACCCCAAGCATTCTTTCCAAGAATTCCCATTTCATCCTATCATAGGCCTTTGCTATATCTAGTTTTAAAGCACCCCATCCCATCAAACCACACTGCTTCCGATTTAAGTAATGGCCAACCTCAGCAACAATTAAAATATTATCAGTGATTAACCTCCCTGGGATAAAGGCACTCTAGATTATGAAATTATTTCCCCCATAAGAGGTTTCATTCTGTTTGCTATCATCTTTGCCATAATTCTATATAAAACATTTCCCAAAGCAATAGGTCTCATATCAGAAACTTTTTCTGGCTCACTCTTCTTAGGAATTAAAACGACATTCGTATCATTCAATCCCTCCGGGAAATCACATGAATTTAAGCAATTAACATTAAAAGCAGAAACATCTTCCCCAACAACACCCCAGAAATGCTGATAAAAACCCGGATTCATTCCATCCTGGCCTAGTGCTTTATCAGGAAACATAGCAAACAGAGCAACTTTTACCTCCTCGGGCTCAAAGGGGCGTAACAATGTATTGTTTTGGGCAGGTGACACACGATGAGTGAAATCATCAAATAGGGGGTCATGACACATAGAGTTACTAGAGTCAAAGATAGATTTAAAATACTCCAGAATAACCAAATTCATATTATTTCCTTCCACCCATATATACCCCATCATCATTTTTCATCTAGTAATAGAATTCTTTTTCTTACGAGCAGAAACATACCTGTGATAAAACTTCGTGTTAGAATCAGCTTCTTGTAACCATTGCTGCTTTGCTCGTTGTCTCCAAAATATATCTTCCTGGGCTTCCAGCTGGCAAAGCTGATTATTAAGAGATTGGAACTCCATTAAAGTAGTCGGATCCCTCCGGTTACGAAGAACCTCCTGTTCCTTTCGCAACCGTTCAATGCGGTCTCCAAATTTCTGAAAGTGTTCCCCACCCCACCGCATCAATTTTGCACCACACAGCTGCTGACAGCTCAATAATCCTCCCGGCCTCCTATCATTCCATGCATTCTCAACCACCTCCCTACACCCCTCGTCAACAAGCCAGGCCATCTCAAACTTAAAACCCCTCCGCCCCCTACCCATCTGCATGCGTATAACATTGACATCGAGGAAGAGAGTCGAGTGATCTGAATTCTGAGTCATAATATTTTTCACAGCAGCCCCTTCGTTAACACCACACCAGGTTGATGTCGCTAAAACTTTATCTAATCTTTCCTCTATCCAGTTATCAGTTCCGGCACTCTTTTCCCAGGTAAACTGATGCCCCCGCATGGGAAACTGCATCAACCCACACTCGTCCACCACCTCCCCAAAGCCGCGTAGGAGGTTATTCGGGTGTGGATTTCCACCCCTCTTCTCATGTTGAAATAAGAGATCATTAAAATCCCCTATCACAATCCATGGCAGTGCTGATCTACTACTCAACGCACTCAGTAAATCCCATGAATCCCTTCTCCTATTGTGATCCGAGAAACCATAGAAACATGTCATGCGCCAAGCCTTGTCATCCTGCATACGAACCTCAACATCAACGTGGTTCTTAGAGAAACTCAACAGTCTAACAGTATTGTTTTTCCTCCATAATAACGCCAATCTACCGCCCTTGTGCACATTGTCAACGTAAAATAAACCATCAAAACCAAGCTTGATGCGGAGTCGTTCTGCACGTATCCGCCCAACCTTAGTTTCCATTAAATATACAAAGTCAGGCTTCTTACGGGACACGATGTCCACTATTTCACGAACTGTACGTGGATTGCCCAAGCCACGACAGTTCCAGCTCAGAGTACTCATAATGATGGGCGGGTCTGGGAACTAGAACCCGCCAACTACAAGTTTTTTACACATCTGACATAACCGTATCCCCACTTCCACTTCCAAACTGTCCGCCCACACCCCCCTCCCCCTCACGGAGTCTTTTAGAAGCCGCCACCACGGCCGGGCAACCTTCACGGTCCGACCCCTCCTCCTCGGCAGCGTCGGGTTCACCATCGTTGACCCCGCCTGCCGGAACTCCGGTTCCCCAAGACGGTCCCATTACTGGGATTAGCCACGGATCGCCGACTGGACGTGGACCAGCTCTACCCCCTACACGCAACCCCTCCCCATATGGATAGAGTTCAACCGGAAGATCCGAATTACGTGCCTTCAGACAAAACTTGTAAGCATGTCCCATCATTCCACAGAAAAAACAATACGTGTGCAGTCTCTCATACCTAAATAACACCCAGCAAGTTGTCTTATCACGCTTCATAAGCTTCATACGTCTCTTTAATGGAGTTGTTACCGGGACCGAAACCCTAATACGATAAAAGGATTTCCAAGGGGCTCCCACAAAACGATTATCACAACGAATAAATTTACCAATATAATTCCCAACCTGTTCTTGAATAAGGCCCGTCGTATACCTTATAGGCAAGCCATGACACCGAACCCACATATCAACGGAATCTAGCACCACATCCCCGGGCATCACCCCATCCACCACCTGTCGACACACGAGTGTGTAATTATCAAAGGACCACGACCCCTCTTCTAATACCCGAACCATGTCAGTTTTATGCCAGAAAACAAACAAGAACAGTCCCGTCTGGAGTTCAGAGACTTGGACCCCCAAAACCGGTTGCCAAACGGACGCCATAACATGCCGCATAAACTCGATCTTAATCAGCTTCTTTGTCAGAAAGCGGCCTACGATCGTCCAGGTTGGCTCATCCACACCGTCCGCGTCGTCTGCAGCCGTGATCGGCACCACGACATCCTCTTCTTCCTCCTCGGCGAGCACCAAGTCAACCCACCTCGCCGTAACAGCCTCCACCGTCGTCGCATGGGCCATTCCAGAACTCGTCGACATCACGCGCAGCAGTTCGCCAGTGGTAAGCAGCCAAAGTCACCGTGAAAACGCAAGAAACCCTATAAACTTAGGAAAAAGGCCAAAACCCCTAGATTTCTAGAGAGAGAAAATTTTTATTTAACTCCAGTTCGCTGTATGATAGTACTATTGTTCTTTTTGTTTTATTTTGGAAAAGAAAATGGAAATGTCATATGAATTAATTAAAATTTCTTGCATTCAAAAAAAAAAAAATTAAAATTTCTTATATAAATCTACGACAATAAAATGAAATTAAATCTTAATATTAATAGAATTTTTTTAGTGGTAGATTAATAATTCATGGTCTGAGTCTATAATATGAATATAATTAATGGGTTAAAACTATCATTTTTCCATTTATAAAACTCATTTATTAAATAAAATAAAAATGTAAAGTCAATTTACATGTACAAATTTTAAGGAGTCAACAAATTTTAAGGAGTCAATTTAAAGTCAATTTACATGTACAAATTTTACAATCTCAAATTTTGAATATGTAATCATATATTACAAAACTGAATGTAAAATTGGTTTTTATGGTTAATATTCATATTTAGAAAATTACAATTTTAGTCACAAAGTTGTAGAGTAGAGGTGTAAAATGTGAAATAATGTCAGCATATGCAACATTAACTATCTAAACTTCACCCTCCATTGTTTAATTTTCTCATCCTGACTTTCCTCTTCTGTGGGCTCTGCATTTTTCTCATCCAAAGCACATTTTGGGTGGAAGTCAAAGTCACAATCAAGACAACAGAATGAAAACACATCAAAGTATCCCTTAAAAGACTCTCATTCTCATTAACAAAAACAAATACAAACTTTATAAAGAAATCATGAATAATAATCAACAAGCAATTACATAAAAGGTGTGTTTGGTAAATATATAGTTATTAGCTGATAGCTCTTAGCTGATTTAGTTAATTAGTGAGTTTGACTAGTTGATAGCATAGCTGATTGTAGAAAAGTGTTTGGTAAATTAGTTGTTAGCTGATAGCTGATTACATGCAAAATGACTTTCTCAAAAAGCTGATCGAAAAAGTTACTTTGAGTAGGTTTTTGAATTTTAACATTTTGGAGCAATAAGTTGTTACAAAAATCTAATTAATCAAACGCTCATATTGATTTTTAAACCAAGTCAAAATGCTAATAGTAGTCAAATAAGTCAAAATTGGGACAAATTAT